TATGTTCGTTTCTCACTTCTATTTTATTTAAAAAAAAAATCCAAATTTACAATATGATTAAATAAACTAATGTGTGATGATTTTATGTACTTATTATTAATACTAGGGATTATAATTGCCCCTTTTCCCTAGTTATTTTCTTTATTATATATAACTTTATATAATAAGTTTTTAAAAAAGTCAGTGTGAGAAATTTTTAGACCCGTGACAATTTAGACAATAACATATTTTTAAACTAGAATAATTATTCATAAAAAAATCCCAAAATAGGCTTATAATTTTAGTGGTGTAGGATTAATTGCGTTTTTAAGATATAATAGATATTTTTAAGATACTTTTTTTCATTCAAAATGTCATAGACTTTACATAGCTCAAAATTTACAATAATTAGTATGTGTAATTCTTCAACTTCAACTGATAATTTTATAATGCCCACTTTGTAGTATTGAACATTATCAGTGGAGATGGTAAAGCAATAATTGCCCCTCACTCATTCTTGCTTGTTCAAAGTCAGGAAATACTTAATGTTTAAATTGACTTGTTCAGGTACAACGCCGACCTCCACCTGCTACCTGCATGCCACTGGGTATGGATGCCGAACACCACATGCATCAGGACCTAGTCCCCAGCTGTAAGTAATATATGAAGACCTAATTTGGTGCTTTATCATAAATACTATCGTAGCAAATAAAACTTAATTTAATATTTTTATTGTCATGTCAACTGTCAAATGTTCTAATAACCATCTAGTGCTAACAACCTAGACCCTCATCCTAGATAAATGTCTCAAAATTAAATAAATATTTCAAGGACATGTAGTCCTTCAACTTCACTGAAGCAGCATGGTGGCCTGTTTTCCTATATTACCTTCTTAGTAATGAGAGTAGGCTTATGCTGTTTTCTTTACTTGTGTGTTTATGTTACTGCTTATCTTAGAATGAACAATAAACTTAAGATAAGCTGGCTAAAATTATGTTAAGTTTTATTTGTAAGCTAATGTTTTATCTTTAGCTGAATAATTTACATAACATAAATGTTCATGGCTTAACATACTGGCAACTGGTTAAATCTAGTTTTGGCTATGGATAAATCATTTGTTATGTGTTATTGTATATAAAATAAAAGTTACAATTCATATCTTGTAGTTTTTTAATTTTTTTTATATTTTTAGCACATTGGTTGTAGCAGTAAAACTTTTTAGCTTAGGTTTAGCATAAAAAATATAACATTAGTTGCTCAAAACTAAACAAAAGCAGAGTTGGCTAATCTTTCGTTGGCTATTTACACTAACATTACCATAACTAAGCATCAAATTGTATCATAGATTTACTAGGTGGAAGCTTTTCTTATCTGCCTAATAATCTGTCTTTACACACTACAAGGGTTGTTACCATCCTCTTACCTGTACTGCCATCATTTTAACTGTTAGCTTGTTTATCACTAATATCTATACAAATAAATAAAATTGTCGTTGTCAACATCTGTTTGTAATGTAAAAAAACAGCTTTTTACTAAATTCATATAAAAGTATATAACATACTTATAACAAAAACACAATTTTAAAAATTTTTGTCTGTCTGTTTGTTCTGGCTAATCTCCGAAATGGCTGGACAGATTTTGACAGCGACTTACTAGCAGATATCTGATGTTATAAGGAGCAACTTAGGCTACTTTTACTTTAGAATAAGAATCAGGGTTCCGTGCAAAAAAATTATAATCTTAAATTACACGCGGGCGAAGTCGCGGGGAACAGCTAGTTTAAAAATAAAATTGCTAAATGATAAGTGTATGGTGCCATAATACACAAAAAGTATTTATAATTTCTTGTATAATATATTTTTAAACATTATTCATGATATTTAATATAATTGCTTTGTTTTCCAGATCTGTCCTAATAACAAAAGAGCCAGTTGTTCGGAGTGACACTGCAAATATATCAAGACAAACATATTTTGGTATATGTGAATATTATATTATGCGGGAATGTTAGTGTCCCAATGAATGAAGACATTGTGATTGCTGCTGGAATTTACTTGTTATCAATATTGTGAAGTGTTGTAAGTCGATATACATGTAACACAGTATTATGGATTTACTAGATTCATTGACAAAAAGAACGCTTGAGTTATTTAATGAGACAATATTGGTACAGCTAAGTTCCACAATTTTCATGCCACATAAACATAAATTAGCTTATATTGCTTTAGATAAGGTTTTGCTGGATAATTGTGTTAATTAATAGACTGAGGGTCAGGACTGTAGAGGGGAGGCAATGCTTCTCATAAAACGGGTCTGCCAAAATTTTTTTTAATTATAATGTGATGTGAAACAAAGTGATTTACATGTTTTTTGTATATTTTCTAAAGAATATTAGGAAGGAACAGATATTAGCAATTAACACAAACAATAAAATTCACACAGAGTGCCTGCTAAGATTACATTGTCCTCATGATTTGTATGTTAGTTAGCCATAATTTTTGATTGGTTTAAGTTTTTGTTACTTTTTAATTTGTCAAAATAATAGTTGTAGTTATTAAATTATACTTTTTCCTTGTGTACTTGTCATTGAACATGGAATTTTGTAAACTCTTCAACTATATTTATTTTGCGACTTTTATAAATTATCTAACGTTTCCTCTAAATTAACTGCGCTGATACATATGGCTTTAGTAGATGATGATTAATTAGCTTTATTTATTTTTTTAAGTTATTTTCAGTAAATTCATATTGCGGTATTCCGCTCCTGCTGTAACAAATGCAACTGTATGAGCATAATTGGGATTTTGTTTTATATTTTCGTGTATTTACGCCTTTTTATTGAATAGAACAGGATGTAATTTGTTACCAAGCAATATTCAATAAAAAAGTAGGATAGGTCTTTTTTAAATTGTATTATCAGCTCATTTTATTATTAGGTTATTGGCGTTTAAGAACTGAAATAAAATTAGATAAACAACCATACAACCGTTGTCTTATTTATACACTATGAGGAACGTGACCACACACTCGTGGTACTTTGCGAAGACGTCAGTCGTCTTGGAGTCTCCCGCACCCTTAACATGAATAACGTTCAAGAGGCAGCTGCTATAGGTACCTAATTGTGTGAACAGTACGACGTCAATGCGTTAACTAAATAATTATTATGTAGAAAGCTACATATTTATTAATAATATAATTATTTTAGAAAAAACTAAAATAAAAAATCCAAGAGGGGGGGCTAGGTTCAGGTTATATACAATTGAAATTTATGGAAGTTGATGAAACTTATCTATTAGCAACAATCCTTGACCAACGATTCTAAACAAGGATTTTCAGCACGTCAGTGGTCGCTGAAACCGCTTGATCAGTTCTTAACGCTGCTGTTGATGACAGAGAGGCCGTAAGACCGACAAGACCTCCAGAAGAACCTCAACCGTCGACAGGCAGAGGAATTTGGCAAGCATCCAAGAAATAATTGAAGAGGCCGAAATGGAAGAGCCAATTTCAATATTTTCTGGTGAGTATTAAAAACCAAAGTTAGTAACTTTTAATAGGTAATCATTGTCGTCTACATAGTAAAAGTAAAATTTAATTTCAAAATGTTTTACAAGGGATTCGCAAACTAAAAACGAGATAGATGCTTATCCAAAGTTCCCAAATTTATCGCCGACTGCTGTTTCCATTGGTCTTTTGGCGAGAAGTTGTCAATTTTAAAAGGCTGAAAAAACTCGCTCAAAAATATTTTTCACTGAAACTATATACAGTCGCCTCGGAAAGACTATGAAATCTGTCAAATGATATACCTCCCTTTCCAGTGGCGCCGCCCTGGTGGTAGAAAAAGTCGTGGATGCCCTCATTAAATTAACATGGTAAACAAATTCCATAGATTTCAACTCAAATTCCTTACTTCCGTAGACGATGATAAAAATCCGTAGAGTTGGCAACGCTGCCTATTATAATTATCTCGTAGCGGAGTTTTGGCGGGAAATTGACCGGCGGCGGTTTGCTGCTCCTGTATTATTGTTTAAATAATGGTTTGAAGTGGACTTTGATATGTAAAAGTGTTGCGATTTTGTGTATTAAGTGTCTACGCATGTGAACTATTAGTGGAAACAGTGAAACAAGTGCTCTGATGGTGATGGATTCTCAAGATAAGCTGTTTGTTTGCATAGGCACCTTTAGATACCATCGCCAACTATCAGCTGTCTGCTGGATCAAGTTGCCGCCAAAATCTCCCAAGAACTGCACAATGTGACGCATCAACATATTGTGAAGCAGTATACTATGAAGGAGTGGGGAAATTACAATAAACCGAATAAAAATACTTAAGACTTGGCCTAAAGGTCTAGATACCAGGCCATAAACTCCAAAAAAAATATTATCTCGTAGCTTGTACCTTCTTAGTATTATGGATGCCTTACACGATCCAGTTTGCAGGGCGCTTAAAGGAAACTTGACAGTAAACTGGATCGTGTATGGCATCCATTAGTAGTCTGTGATAGCTTGCTACAAATTGAGCGGCGGCGGATTGCTACTCCTGTATTATTGTTTAAGTAATGGTTTGAAGTGGATTTTGATATGTATAAGTGGCGCTGTTTTGTGTATTAAATCTGCGCATCTGAACTATTAATGGAAAAGGTGAAACAAGTGCTCTGATGGTGATGTGATTCTGCAGATAAGGTATCTGTTTGCTGTTGATTGTGTTGTTGAGATACCATTGCCAACTGTCTGCTGGCTCAAGTTGTCGTTAAAATTTCCCAAGGGCTGCACAATGTGACACATCAACATATTGTGAAGCAGTGTACTGTGAAGGATAATAATTATACATTGTAACTACAGGCTCAGTAGGGCTAGAACCCAGTGCCGTAAAGTCAGTTATAAAAAAAATGTTACAAATTTATTAACCTGTGGTGCTGTCCAGTGCTGTCACAAAATAAGTAATAAAAAAGTTTGTAATTTGTATTGTGTACCTACTTTTATTTATAACATTGCTCTTTATCATTTTTGTAATTAATTCAAAAATGAGTTTTGAAACATCTACTAATAACGGTAATAGCAAGGAAGAACGTAAATACCATGACCGCAACAAGTCGGATGACTTACAAATATCGAGGACAGACATGAATATGTTGATAATGAATTATTTAGTAACAGGTGACGTTCTTTCGTATTTTCTTTTATTTGTCAGTGTTATTTTAACTGTTCCAAGTTGTAGCTCAATAAAATGACCTCTAAACATTTAATAAATATTAGACAAGAAATACATTACTTCATACAGAGATTAGTCCATTTGGTACTAGAAAAGTTATACCGTTAGATATAAATATTTCACAATTTATTTTTACCTACAGTTCGTTAATACACATACTTCTATTATGGGTGAAAAATTATTATCCAGATTTCATTGGAAAATGGCATTTTCAAACAAAAACCTGCTTATCAAAGTTTTATTGATAATGGGGCTACTTTCATATGGCACTTATATTTTATTTAATCGCAAAGTGACCCCAATACATGACAAAAATCAATAAGAAAAAATAATTTAGTAACTATGGTTTAGAAAATATTGCGTTTTGAACATTTTTGGGGTGACTTTGAGTCACGTGGTGAATTTCATATGTGGGTATATTACAGTGTAAACAACCAAGATAAGCCAAATATTTTTTATTATTATTTAAGAAAACTAAGTAACAGTAACCTAACGTTAATCAGTCTTAATATTCACTTTCGAGATTCATAATTTCTATCACTTAAAACTATTACAACAGTCTTATAATTATATAAACCTGTTTTATAAAATAAAAAACTCAAAAATCCGTTGTCGAAATACTTATTTAACACGTTAGTTGCCAAAGAGAATTTAGAAAAATTTCAAAAAAATGTCACCCATTTTTTATTATATTATGTTGAGTTAAAGTATAATTATAAGCCTACGGTGTTATTACATAGTGTTAGCTTGTATATAAAGCTTATATACTATGGACGGACACATTAGTCCGACGTGGCCTGAACGGAATAATTATTTCAATTGCACCACGCGGGTCACTCTGTCGGACAACAAAAATTTTCGAAATATTACAAATAAGAGTGATGTTCAAAAAAGATAACCAAGGATAACACTGGACTATATAATGAAGCGAAATAGGCAGTGCATTTGTCTGCATACTCGACTCTGCTTAGGAAGACAGTGAAATGGTATCTTCTTCTCTTCTTTCGATTCTTTCTTCGATCTTTAATTATTTTTTCGATTAATAATTATTTTTAGTGTCTAAAGTTAATACCCATTAAAAAAAAACATTAAAAATTGACCTCATATTCAAATAAACAATTGATTAGATAAGTGATGTTTTTATTTTGCAAATATTTTTATTTTTCATCTCTAGCATTCCAAATATTCAAAAAAATTAGGGTGATACATTATTTTTAATACTCTACAGGGCTGCGCGGGTCACTTAGTATGCGAAAATCTAATGAAAAAGTGGCCGCTGGCCTATAAACGTAAGTCAAAGTAAGGTGTGCCCTGTCGGTCGCCATTGTCCGACACGGCCTGAATGAAACATTTACTGGCGGTCACCATTGTCCAACATGGCGACCAACATGTTAACGACTCCTGGCCGACAGTCGCTCTGGACCTTTTCATATTAGTTGAGTCTTTGATCATAGGAGTGCTTATGGCACTTCAGGACGCTAATGGCCCATTTGACATCAGGCAGGTTTTTGGCAGGCATTTGAAAACCATTCTATAATTTTGCCCTGTCAATCTAAATGAGTCTTAACGAACATTCGAAGGTCAAATAATGTAAGAGGTTAATATACAGGGTGTTTTTGGAACGCTCCCGAAAACTAAGACAGGCGACAACACCAAGTATACCTTTGATCATGGGTCACAAATAAATTCGATCCTGATGAAAAAAAAATCATCTTTTCAATCAAAACAATCTTTTTACTTTTTACTGAAACATAAAACCAGCAGTGGAATGACTGAATTGATATCACCTGACCTGAGCTAGATAAAGGTCAATGTACGCGCGAACACAAATTCGCGCGGCCCGCAACTAGCGGGCCTTCCAACAATACCTAATAATTTACAACACGTGTCTAAATACCTAACTTATCTACTTAACCTACTATTTTGCCACTGTGCTTATCTCCACGTAGCCACTTTAATCCGAATTTACAGGTTAAATAACCCAAATAACTAGTTCGATTCCCCGCTAATGAAGAAATACTTAAATGAAATGTAACCAAGGTTGGAGTCATGCGTTTTTATTCATCGTGTAGGTATGTTTATTATTCTCGTGTATTCAGTTATGTACCTATTCAGATTAGTCTAGTACTAAGTTATTTAAAAAAAAATAGTTATGAAACAGCTTACTGCTCTAAATCCTCCGTGGTCTTATGAGATGCGGCTCAAATTGTGCTCCATTCATTTCAAGGCAGACTTGGGTGCAGGCGGGGCATCATCGTGTGGTCTTCGACACAGTCCGTACGTAGTTTCTCGAAAGCATCCACGATCCTTTGGCGCATTTCTTCAGCACTATCACATTCACGATTAAAAACCCTTTCTTTCACATACCCCACAAAAAGAAGTCTAACGGAGTCAGATCTGGTGAGCGAGGTGGGCAAGCGTGTGGTCCTAGTCTGCCGATCCAGCGATCATCAAATAGCTCATTGAGGCGCTCACGGACGAACCTCACGAAATGTGGAGGGGCACCATCATGTTGGAACTATGTGCGGCGATATTCAGCCAACGATAGGTCGTTTAAAATGTCAACCAACTGTTCATTTATAAAGTTTAGGTATCGCTGTCCGTTCAGTCGCTCTGGCAGAAACACTGGTCCCAGTATGCGATCCTTAAATAAACCTGTCCATACGTTAACCGACCATCGGGTTTGGTGCCCGGTTTGTCGAACAGCGTGCGGGTTAACCTCTGAATACACGTGTGTATTTCTTCGGTTCCACAGGCCGTTTCTGGTAAATGTCGACTCATCCGTCCAGATAATGTGCTCAATGGAACCAGGCACACGTTGTTGCTGATATAATAACCAACGGCAGTATAATAACCACTATAAACGTACGCGTTAGGCATTATTAAAACAAAAAAGAATCCAAAAACGTAACAAAAACTTTAATATCAACACGTAATCACAAGTAAATTTATTAAACAAAACGATTGAACTGTCGCTCGCGCACGCGTGTACAAAATCAACACGAAAGCGAAACTGTCTCAAAAACTAAAACCAACGAACCCCGTCAAGGCTGAAAATTACTGCGTCACAAGCGTGAAGCGACAGGGTTAGGCATTCTGCCGTCATAATAAAAAAGGAAGTAACTAACAAAAACGTAAAATGGAAATAAAAAATAAATTGATGAATTTTTCTTTCAGACCCCGTGTCTAAAGTATATTAAAAGGTATCTATATTGAAATATATACGTAGAGACATGAAGATTTTAAGGACGAACTTATTTTTTTTTAAATTTGTTTATTTATTTAAATAAAACGAATTTTCCTTTTCATCTTAGCTTAAAAAATACACCTGGCAACACAAAAACATCGAAGGAAAGACGCATATAACTATTTGCGTCTTTCCAACCTAATAAATTAAAAAAAAAACTGCCATTCATTTAACAATTTTACATATTTTGGAAAGGTCATTTGAAGTTGAAAGGACGCTAATAGTAATTTACTACTTTTTTTTTTAATAAATATTAGAAAAGCATTGGTAGTGAGACACAAAAAATAATAATTTTAAAAAGTAATGATTTTAAAGGGGATATCATACAAGACTTACTACGATAATAATTAAAAATTAAAAATTTTGTACAACCGATTTTAATATAAATAATTAAGGATAACTCAAAAACTATTGGTCTGACCTCGATCAAATTTATATGGGACCACATGTGAAACACCAGCTCTTAACAATAAGATATAAGCTCTTAATAATAAGATATAGAATAATAAGACAAGACCAAGAATAATTGAAATTTAAGTAATCGATGCAAATATTGTTAAAGATGACGTAGCAACTGGTTAAATAAGTCTTTTCTTTTATGTTGAATTTGTATAAGTCTTTTCTACTAAAAAAAGTCATCTGTGATCAACAGTTACGTCTAAAATTCTTACGATAATTTCTAAAATATTGATATTTGTGAATATTAAAAAAATTTAGTAGATGCGCCTTCTTATCATGAATCGAATGGTATATTTAACTCATTTATTCATAAATTGTTAGATGCGCCCTTTTTTCTTACGACCGCGTGTTTCGTACCGAGCTAGATACAGGTCGATAGCGGAGGGGGTGTGGGTACAATCGCGTTCTAAAGTACTACATGGTATTGGGCTATTGTTTTATAATATTATAGTAATTAATTGTTTTAATGTAGAATCATAATAGGTGTTTTACTAGCTACTTAGAACTTTGGAAGAGGTGGGAATTAAAAATGGATAATGTTTACATGAGCATTATTTGTTATTTCTATCGTAAAATATAAAGTAGTTTGTAACAAGAAAACTTTAGCTAAGGGTAACACGCCGTCCATTATGACGTCTTGGGTCACATGGAAGCCAGATGTTAATGGTGTGTTGGTGTTACTGGATGCTACTTGATCATCACTTTCATCTTCGCTTGAGCTTCCGTCATCAGGTCGATCACATGGTAATTTTTTCGGTATTCTTCCTCCACACTTTTAACTTTACTGCACAATTTTCCCCATTCACCTTCTCCTATCATATTTACCTTTTCGATCACTAGTTTAGTCATAAAACAATAGATATAAATAATTTTTCTTTCCTTCCTTTTTAAAACATCGTCGCGAGTCGCAAAGTAAGCTGTGTATGCGACTGTATTTTTGGAGCGAACAAAGCGCGGGAACCAATAGCATGCAGGCACACTAATACTGGCGGATTGTTCCCCCGTCGCGCGCCTTTCGTACCAATATGTGATAAATCGCTCAGTGCCCAAGTTCAAGGCCAGCGTTTGTTTTTCACCGTTCGCGCGTACATTAACCTCCATTAGTCAGGTGATATCAATTCAGTTTCCACTGCTGGTTTTATGTTTCAGTATTTTCATGATATTTTTTATGAAATTATCGTTTCATTTAGCTGTACTAACATGATGGCGCGTGAGTAAAGCTAATAAAACGTTGTTAAA